GTGTGTGAGAGAGAGAGAGAGAGAGAGAGAGAGAGAGAGAGAGAGAGAGAGAGAGGAGAGAGAGAGAGAGGAGAGAGAGAGAGGGAGAGAGGAGAAACATCAATTTGTTGTTTCATTTATTTATACATTCCCTGATTGCCTCTTGTATATGCCCTGACTGGGATCAAACCCGCAACCCAGGCATATCAGAACTACCCTCCAACCAACTGAGCCCCCTAGCCAGTGAACAATGAACTGGTTTCTTCATTAAGGAGCCCTTGGCATTACTGACAAGTTTCTGGAAGATTCAGGCTGGGGTTGATATCCAGTGACAGTGAGTTTCCGGGATGTCCTCAGGACAGAGCTCCCTTGCCCCTTGGACAGCAGGGGCCCTGTCTTTGAGCCTCTTTCCTGCAGCTTGAGTTTGATAGCCCCTCAGCCTGATCTCCATTCCAATCTCTGCTCCAGAATCTCTCCCCTGACTTTCTGACATTGGCCCCAAGTCCTCCTTCACCCAGTTGAACTCCTGACCTTCTGAGCTCCTGAGAATCTGGCTACACCTGAAATTCCAGGTTTAGGATGTTGTGTCCAATGTCGGCTCTCTGTTGGGAGCTGGGTTCCCCGCCTCCAGGGTTGAGTAAGAGCCAGCCTGACCTGGTGGGTTTGCATCTGCAATTTCTAGAAGGCAGAGCAGCACTGCAAGCTCTCTTTCAGTTCTATTCACCGGTGGGAAGCGAGTCTGTAGGTTGCGCTTGCTGACTGGCTAGACCCAGGGGACCTGTGTGAGGATGAAAATGTACCTGTTGATGGTCTTCCCTCCCTTCTTCTTGTATCCAGGTAAGTGGGATCTGGGTCTGAACTCCTGGGAAAAGCTTATGGGCAGGAGGAGATGGCTGGCAGCAAGAGAAAGGGGCCCAAAACATGTCCTGCTGAGACATGGACCCCATTTCTAAGTACTTTCTCCAAGCTATGAGCCTGTGTGGTTCATCCACTCAGCTCATCACCAGAGTTTCAGCGGCTACAGTTGCCAATGAAGAAACATGCAGCATGGCTTTCCCACTGAGCCCAGCAGAAGGCATCATTCCTAACCCCTGGGGGCTGGTAGTTCCAGATGGACAGCTGGATGGGGCCCATCGGCCAAAGCAGAGGAGCTCTGGCTGCTCAGGAGAGCTGGTGAAGCTTGCTCCTGGACCTTCGTGACGGTGTTAGGAGCAAGGCAGGCTTTGGGAAAGAAGTGAAGGTGGAAGGTGCTTGAGGGAAGGAAAGCAGGAAGGTTGCCAGACAGGGATGGGAGGTGATTCCAGGTCTTTGAGGTTGAAGGAAGTTGCCGAGGGACTGGAAAAATCCAGAGGAGGTAGTGTGGTAGGGTGAAGAGGAAAGGAGGGGAACAGAGGGCTGAAGTGAACTTGAAGTTGATGGATACTAGCGGTTTGATTAAAAATTAAAGGGATTGTCTCGAAATGTTGGAAGGCCTCAGGGCCTGGCCTTTGGGCTTCTCTCTGAGGAGTCACTCCCTTGTTGATCTCCTGTCCTCTCTTGGCTTTAAATGCTGTCTGTATACAGATGACTCCCAATCCTGTATCCCTAGTCCCTGGACCTCTTCTTAGATTCCTGACAGAGCCTTCTACCCAATTGCCCATTGAACAGCTCCACTCAGATGTTGACATTTCAAATGTAACCTGACCACATTTCCCCCTTGAATTCCCTTCTGTCCCACCTTTGCGTTGGGAACCTCCATCCCTCTAGGTGCTCAGACAAAACTTGGGGACATCCATCTCCTCTCATATCCCATAATGACCCTTTACAATGTAAGCCACATTCTGTCTCTCCTCTAGCCAAAACCTTCCAACGACCTCCCATTGTAAAGATCCAGCTCCTCACTGAGCTACCAGGTGCTCACCATCTGAGTTCTTCCACCATATCATTGCTCTGGTCTCTTCTCTATTCTGCTCTCCCTGGTTCAACCACTTCATCCCCACTGGCCTCTTCGATGTTCTTTGAACATGTTAGGCACACTCCTGACTCAGGGCCTTTGCACTGCTATTCTCTTGAGCCTCAGGTTCCAGTCCCTCACATCTTTGCTTCTCATGGAGGCCTTCATTGATGACCTTAATTACAATAACAATTTTTTTTTGCATCATTTTTCTCCACTATCTGTCTCTTTCCTTCTTCCACCTTGATTGAATATAAGCTTTAGGAGGGCAGGGATTTTTGCACTTATAAACATACCAAGTACAGATTAGACAAATGGTGAGTTGAATGAGTGAATGTATCTAATGGCAACGAAGCTATGTGACTGCTGAAACCATTTCACCTCTAGACTAAATTTTTATACTTTCACAGAACTGAACTATTGAGACTTCTTAACATTAATTAGAGAGGACATACATTGCTCATGGGTATGTAAAATGGTGCAGTCACTTTGGAAAATAATTTGACATTCTTGAAAATGCTAAACATGTGGTTATGTGATCCAGCAATTCCGCTCCTGGGTAAATACCCAAGAGAATCAAAAATATATATCCATGTAAAAAGTTGATGCAAATGTTCACCCCAAATAGCCCTAAAGTGGGAATAACTCACATGTGCATCAACTGATGGATCAATAAAATGTGGTCTGTCCCTACAATGGATTGGCATGAGAATAGACAAAGGGACCAATAGGTAAGCAAGGAAAAATCTATAAGTAACTTACCTATTTACTTTTTGACAAAGAAACCAAAGCAATTCAATGGAGAACATGGGATCAGTGTGATATGGATTCTGTAGTTGGCATCACTGCTTTGGTCATGGTCAAAGACCCTGCATCCGGGGTGCTTCTATGTAACCATTAGACCCACTAGGAGCGGCCTCTGCACAGCCAGGGGAGCGGGTGCAGCAGCTGGATCTCCTGAGGCCACCAGCGCAGGTCAGGAGCAAGCACACTCGTGTGGAAATGGGTCGCCTGGCACTTCCTCCCCGAGAGACCAACTTAACCCAGAGATGCTGCAAAAGGACAATGATTGAGGGGCCACAGGGAGCAGGAGGGAGTGAATTATAGGAGGTAATGATTGCTCAGAGTCAATGCCTTTGTTTCCTTGAGCTCTGTAGTTGCTCTGAGCCAGTGGCACTTTGAAGGACAAAGGTCTGCGTTGTGGCTGGTGAATTCCTTCTTTGACTCTGTCCCACTCATCAGGCCTTGGACTTGCTGGAGCTGCTCACAGTGCAGAAGGCTGCCGCCGACCCTCGAAGTGGTGGTTGGGGAGGTGACAGATACATGATTTGTGTTTTCCAGACGCATCTTGTACCATGTTGGCACCAAAAGAAGTGCGAGGCCAGGAGTGGCACTCATTGTCTCTGCAGTGTCACTATGACACAGGGTGGGAGACCTACAGGAAGTGGTGGTGTCGTGGGGATGGCTGGTATAGCTGTGAGCTCCTTGTTGTAAGCGATGGATCAGAAGAGGTGAAGAAGAACCGCGTGTCCATCAGGGACCATCCGAGAAGCCTCATGGTCACGGTGACCATGAAGGACCTCAGGCGAGAAGATACAGACACTTACTGGTGTGGGATCGAGAAAAGTGGATCTGACCTTGGCGTCCCTGTTAGAGTGACCGTTGACCCAGGTAAGAGCAAGTGCATGTGTGTCTGTGTCCTTTCAGGGCCTGCTCTGCCCTGATCCCTGAGGTCCCTCTCCAATGACTGAAGGTCCCTCATCGGATGAACTGCCACCGAGGGGGTTGGTCCTGAGGTCTCGGGGAACCCCGGCTGCTCACGTGGGTTGGGAGGTGCAGGGCTTCTCTTACAGGCTCTTGGGGCTCCCAGGACCTCCCCTAGATGGGATCAAGCCTTTCTGGGCACATTTTTCCTCCGCACAGCTCATCGCCTCAGTCTATTGCCATTAGAGACCACGGGGTGGCCCCAGGTTTAGCTCACGGGCAGAAGGAAGCCTCTTCTGTGGGAGCCAGTTCCTGCCAAGGCTCCCCTGGCACTTCTGGTGCCCTGGTGTCCCTGCTCTTCCTGAAAGTTGGGGCCCCAGGCTCATAGCTGCTGTTCCCACCCCTTGTCCACATCTGATCTCAGGCCTGGGTAGCTGCCAAGTGCAGCACGTTCCTTGTCTCACTGGATCTCGAGAAGGATCCTGAGAAGGAGCTACCCAACCACAGAAACTTAAAAACTTGTCCAAAGGAAAGGCTCTTTCCGAACATCGTGTATTTGCTCAGGGCTGGTCCTGACCTGAGATGTCATAGCTCTTGGGTATGTTAGTTACCTGGCATGTCCCTGTTCTGCTCTTGTCCTTGCTGGATAAGTAAGGTGGGGAGGTATTGGCGGAGGCCCGGCCATAAACAGCGGGAGTGTTTCAAGTTTAGCTGAACTCCAGCTGCCCTTGCCCTGAGGCAATCCTGGGCCCCTGAGCCTTCCCAGGCCTGTGTGGTGGCCCCTTGGACCTGTGCCCGGGTCTCCGACAGCCAAGGAGGCCTGAGTGGTCCAGCTGGAGGCGCCTTCCCGGGCCCTGCCCCAGGCTCTGCAGGCCAGGGCAGCCCACATTCCTCCCTGGCTCTGAGCTACGTGCAGGGCTGCGGAGGGAGGGGGGGAACGGGGGAGGGATGCGATTGGGGTTTTGGGGGGGGATTAGCAGGAGAGTGGAATGTAACCTGTTCTGTATGATAAGCAACAACTACAGTGCCGACCCCCACCCCCAACATCATCTCCATTGCCAACGTATTCATAGTACCAGACACTCCAGAAGACACCACAGGCTTCCTGAATGGAACCAGCCACCTCTCTGATGGCAGGTAAGTCAGCTTGGATGCTGCAGTTCCCTGTGGCCTCCTTGTCCCAGACTTCTCCATGTGGAGGCCCTTTGTAGTGCCACGTCCCAGCCAGGATGCCAGGGGCCCTTCCACTTGCTCTCAGACCAAAAAGTGTCCTTGGTGAGATACACCACACCTTCCCCTTCCCCTTCCCCCTGCCCCCATCCAGCGTCCTGGAGCTCAGTGCAGTTCGGAGGTTGTTGGTTCATTCATGCATCCATCCCACTTCCACTGAGTTAATTCCTACTTGGCCGAGACTGTGTTAAGCTCAGGTCACACAGACATGGAGCGTCCCTGATGGAGCTCAGAGTGTGGGAGGTGGAGGAGCAGGCAATCAGGGCAGAGGGCATGGCCAGGGTGTGTGGGCACGGGGTCATGGGGCCACAGTGCCCCCAGGTCCAAATTCTGGGAGAACAGGAAGGGCCTGGGGAAGCCCTATTTCCGTTATGAATTCCTTTGTACTCTTATGGCAACAGCGGGGATCTCGACAATTCCTGGAGTCTCTCAACCACCTGGCAGCTCACTTTCTTGTCTGGTTTCCCCTTCTATGTGGGTCTGTGTCCCAATCTCTTCTTCTTCTTATAAGACCCTGGGTCATTTCCTTCCCAGAAGAGCAAGCAAGGGCGAGAAGAGTGAGAAATGAGGAGAGCGGGTGGGGGTTGAGGAGCAGTGGAAGCCAATGCCAGCCTTGGCAATTTCTTGGAATGAAGTGGGGCTGTTATGGGATTTTGAGCACAGGAGGGAGGTGCTGGAACTTTGGTTAAAAGCATTCCCTGGCTGCTGTGCTGATAATGAACTGTAGTGTGTAGTGGTGGTGTGTGTGTGTGTGTGTGTTGGAGAATGTATGAGTTTCTTGTGGCTGCCATAACGAAATAGCACAAACTGGGTGGCTTAACACAAGATAAGTATATTCTCTCATAGGAGGTCCATAGTTTGAAATCAAGGTTTAAAGAGGATTGGCTCCTTGGAGTTCACGTGTATGGGCTGATGGCAATGAACTTAGGCCCATTTCGGGTGCACAGACACTTCAGTGAAATTCCTATGGTTGCCAAGGAGGCACTGAGCTGATGTGGGGGTAGAATCCGTCCCATGCCTCTATCTAAGCTGTTGGTGGCCGGCAATCCTTGGCATTCTCTGGCCTGTGGCTGAATCACTCCAATCTCTGCCCCTGTTGTCACGTGGTCTCTGTAACTGTATCCCTGTTGCCCAAATTTTCCTTCTACAAGGACACTAGTCATTGGGTTAGGCCCCTCTAATCCAGTACGACACCATCTTGATCACATCTGCAAAGATCTTCTTTCCAAATAGGTCATCTTCCCAGGTTCTGAGTGACATGAACTGTGGGGTGGGGACTATGCAACCAGGCCAGAGGACCAGTGAGGAAGCAGGGAGACCTTGCCGGTGCCTGTTGTCACACCACCTCTCTTGGGCTTCTAGACCCATTGAAACTACCTTGTGGAACCCTCCTCTCACTTAAAAACAACCACCATTTTTGAGGGCGCCCAGGAGTGGGGGTTCCCAGGCAGGAAGGTGTGTGGCCCTGTCTGCTCCAGATTTGTGGGAGAAGGCCCAAAGGCAGGGGGCGAGCAGGGTTCACAGGTGTCTTCTGTTGTTTCCAGTGGCTTCCCCATGAAGCTCTGCATCTCCCTGCCCCTCTTCATTGCTCTGGTGCTGCTTCTCTTGGTGACAGTCTCGCTGTTGATGTGGAGAGAGGTGAAGCGACAGAAGAAAGGTGAGAGGACCTGGCTGGGGCTGGGGCTGGGGCTGGGCTGGGCTGGGTGGAAGTGTGTGGGCCCATGTCAACAAGGTTGGCTCCCTGGAGCTCAAGAGTGTGGACCAACCCCAGATCAGGTGTGCAGACACTTCAGTGAAATTCCTATGGTTGCCAAGGAGGTACTGAGCTGACACGGGCGTTGGGAAACACACACACACACACACACACACACAAACAAACACACACACACACACGTGAATGTGCACACATCTGCATGCTACACAACACACTGCACATGCACATACAGATAACACACAGATGTGTAAATACAGACTACATGTATGCACACACATGAGTCCTCTGTTGTTGTTTTTTTAAAAAAGGTTGATTGAGACTCCTACTTTTGCTCATCCTCTGCCCCAGCCATTCACTCACAAGCCAGCATCATCCAACAGGGGACCTGGCCCCAAGCAAACCCTCCTCCTGTCTGGCTCCCCTTCCACATCCTCACATATGGCACCGCCCCTTCTCAGCGCCCACTGGGACCTGCGCTCTCTCTCATGGGGTCCTCTCCAGCCTCCTCCCTCCCCACAGCCTGGGGATCTTATAATCTGGGAGGAGAATACATAACTCTGCTCATCATGTTTCCTCCCAAGTGCATTGTCCATGACACATGTTGAGGGTATTCACTGTGCTCCTCAGTATCTAGACTTTTGAAACTAAAAATCTGGGGGGAAACATTTTGTTCCTTTGTTGTCTCTAAAGCTGGGAGGCGGGGGCAGGGCCACAGAACAGACAGAAATGGGAACCAGCGAACATCTGAAAGCAGGTCCATCCGGTGCTGACCCAGCTTGAGCACCTGGGTCTCCATAGATGACACTTACGGATGGGCACCCGTGTGTCAGGCACAGCCAGGCGCCGGCCATGCCAGGAAGGGCAGGCTCAGCCACCCAGCAGCCCTCAACCCACAGCCCAGAGCCCAGAATTCAGTGGTTCACAGGCAGTGAGACAGACATACATTAAGTGCAGTGAGAGCTGGGAGAGGGGACCAGGCAGCAGGGCGGCTGGGAAAGGTCGGTGTGAGTGATGGATAAGATAGCATTACAGGCAGTTCTGGTTGACATTACAGGATGATCTCGGGGTGGCAGTGAGGAAAACAACCCCAGGATGCTGATGGCTAGCTGCCCCCCCCCCCCAAACCCATTGATGTCACAGTTCTGTGATGAGGGGAACAGAGGAGCTGAGAAATGGAAGCCCAGAGAGGGGGATGCCCCACGTCACAGACTGTGTCATCTGCAGAGTCAGGATTGGAACCAGGTCTCCCTTCTGGAGCCTCTTTGTTCACCTCTTTTCTTTTTCTGGGACCCTCCCACTCTCAGGATGAGCTTTCTAATTCTGGTTGTTTTGTCTTTTAGCTGCTGGGATACCCCCACAGCAGGTAAGAGAGTCCCTGGGGTCAGACCGGATATACCAGACGCACGTTCCCCCTCTGTTCTTATTTTCCGTCTCCCAGGGGCCCTGAGGTTCAAATGTGTCAGACAGACCATGTGCCCAAGTGCCCAGATCCTCCCAGCTGCCAGGCCTGGATGAACGGGGTGCTGGAAACAGCCAGGAAGGAGGGGCAGGTGTGGGAGGCTGAGAGGTGGGGCTGCAGGGGAAGCTGGGGGCGGGGGGCAGGGCAGCAGAGGGGCTGATGACCTTCTGCAGAAGAGGAACCCGGGCTTCCTCTCCCAGGTGCTCCAGCCCGCGGAGAACAACGTCTGCTATGCCAACCTGCCCTCGCAGCAGACAGGAATGCTGCCCAGCTCCTACAGGAAGAGGCCCCCCACCCAGCCCTCCTCCTCTGCCCAGAACAACCCAGGGGAGGTGGAGTACATCACCATGGTGGGTACTTGGTGGGGCTGCTGTGGGCCTTGGATACACCATCCCTGCTTTGAGGATGGACCTTCTCCCGCCCCTGTGGGCACAGAGGAGGGTGGGTGCCGGGCAAAATCGCAGCCATTGAAAGACTTGCCTGCTGAGCTCCCCAAGGTGCTCCCCAAGGCGCTTGGCCTTGGGAAGTGTCTCCATATCAGGTCTCCGCATGGGGCACTGGGAGCCTGGTCCGCGGAGACCCAGACTGGCCCAGTGCCCTGGGAGCACACGCAGACCGCGCTGCCCTGGCCTGGAGCGTAGGGAGAGTCTCTGCTGTGGCTGCAGCTCAGGGTGCCCTGCAGGGAGGAGGGAGGCGGGGATGGAAGGCCTGGGAGTGGACTTCAGAGTTCCTGAGGAGCATGTCCCCCAGCCTCAGGGAGGAAGACAGACTCCCTGACCCGTGTGCGTCTTTGTTACAGGCCCCCTTTCTGGTGACGAATGTTTCCTACGAGGCCCTGTCTCTGGACACCTTGGATCAGGACTCAATCTACAGCAACACGCAGGGCCTCGTCACCCCCCTTTCCAGCAGGAGCCAGGAGGCGCTCGTCCAATACAGCGTCATCAGGGAGCCTTAGCTGTGCCGAGGGCCCCCGGTCCGACCCCACAGGAGGCCCGTCAGCACATTCCTGCCTCGTCTGCTTTCTGCTCCCAGGCCTCTCTTCACCGCAGACCGGAACTGGGCTCCAAGCCTGGTCTCAGGGGGCTTCTGGGAGATAGAAAGGGGTCTCCCATATCCTTTCCTCTCCCAGAAGCTAGGGCTATGGTCTGTGGCAGCTGAGGGAGGATCATGACAATAATATGATGATGATCATGGCAATAATAGTAACGAACCTTTATTTATCGCTGCCGTGTGCGGTGGGCTGAATAATGTTCTATGTGTGCTCATCTCCAGAACCCGTGAGCGTTAGCTTCTATGACCGGAGGGGCTGGGCAGATGTAATGACACGAAGGACTTGGAGAGGGGGGATTATTCTGCATTATCCTGGCAAGCCCTAACTAGAGTCACAAGGGTCCTCCTTAAAAAAGGGGGTTAAGAAAGTCTCAAGAGAAGGCGCTGTAATGAGGGAAGGAGAGGTTGGAATGCTGTGGCCAGGAGCCAAGGAAAGCTGTCGCCTCCAGAAGCTACAAAAGTCAAGGACAGGATCTGTCAGAAGGAGCCAGCCTCGCGGAGACCCTGACTCTAGAACGTAGGAGAATCAATGTACCACGTCTACAGGAAGCCACCAATGGATGCGGCAGCATTGGACACAGACGCCCTATTGCGGCAGGCGCTCTTTCCTAAGTGCTCCCCCCATTGCAACTCGTTCCATCCTCACAGCCGCCCTACCAGGCGCCTCCATACTGCCCATCCTACAGTCCTGAGAGGTTCAGTGACTTACTGAGTGTTTTCACCTCCCTGTGGGCCCCAGGGAGGGTCTCTCTGGCCTGAGCGGGGAGGTGGAGACAGGGCAGGCCGGGGTAAATTTAGAGCCACTTCAAGTGTCCGTTTCACACTTCCCCCACTGGGTGCTCACCTCTGGCTGTTTACCTCAGGCCAAGCTGGGCTTCCTGCCCTGAAAATGGAGGAAGTCAGAGCCCTTCCCCAGAGCAGCTTAGAAGAGGAAACATCAGCACACCAACCGTCATGCGTTTCAGGAACTTTCTCACGAGAGGCCCCAGGGACTCTGCAGAGAGAGGAGCGTGCAGGGGGAAAGCCTGCAGAGTGTGGAATGACGCTGGGGGTGGGTCTGAGTCACCCTCCTTTACTGCTCAGGCTGACCAGGGGACCAGCCAGCGCCACTCCCCGCGCCAGCTGCCTGCCCTGGGGTCTGGGCAGGACCCACAAGCCAGCAATGACCAGTGACGTAACCTGCACTTCATCTATTTATCTCAAAGTCTCCCAGCACTCCAGCAAGAGGACAACAAGCTGCCGGAAACGTTCCGCAGGGAGTGGAGCCGCTCACTTTCTGGGCTTTCCACCATCTAGCAATTCTCTCCTGGCAAGTTTCCAGGACTATTTGACACACATCTGGCTGCTCTGTCAAAACATGAAATGACTCTTCCTCCTCCATAATGGTAACCTCCGGGGAGGAAGAAGGGGGGAGTGTGTGGGACGGGCTATGTGGGGGGAATTCTGGGAAACTGGAAGGTTCCAGTTCTTTATCTTGGTAGCAGGTTGCCCAGAGGTGCTCACTGTAATAATCCTTTAGGTGTACCTGTAGGATTTGAGCTTTTCTTGTGGTTGCTAAACTTCAATAAAAAGTTTGTTTAAGCCGAAGCTGGTTTGACTCAGTGGATAGAGCGTCGGTCTGCAGACTGAAGGGTCCCAGGTTTGATTCTGGTCAAGGGCATGTACATTAGTTATGGGGGTATGTAGGAGGCAGCTGGTCAATGTTTCTCTCTCATCGATGTTTCTGGCTCTCTATCCCTCTCCCTTCCTCTCTGTAAAAAGTCAATAAAATATATATTTTAAAAAGTTTGTTTAAAAACCGTTCTTCCAGCAACTGAGGTTGGAGGGGAGCTTACATCCCATGGTCACTGCATCCTAAAGAAACAGCAGGAATTGCTATGCAGCAAAATTAAAAAATAAGACAAATATGTTGATACCCTGCCCCTTTTACAAATGGATTTTTAAGTGGATGACAATAAAAAAGCCATGCACAATAATGAAGTAATATTAGGCAGAGGTAGTCAGCGTTGTCATAAGAAGAAAAACTTCCTACCCACGTATGGCACTCTCTTGGGCACCCAGAAGGTTTAAAGCCAGATTCTTCTCTCAAGACGCTCACACCCTAGCTGAGAACACCGGGCATTTATTAGCAGTTGATCTTTCTCGATGTGCTGATCTGTAAGTTCTCATGGGCCCCATCCACATTTCATCTGTGAGTAACTGAGGTGGGAAAAACCGTGCTTGATCAACAATTTAAAAACTGTGGCCTCCACATCTTAACCTTCCGAAAGGAATACTTCTATCCTTACAAGATGGCTTACGCTTGGACCCATATATCTAGTCACCAGGATGCTTTTGTAATCGACTGATAGTTATGTTCCTCGGCTTGCATACACTGTCTATAAAGGCTAGACTCGCAACCTCAAAAACCACAGATTTGATAAGCGTTTACTTCAAACTGTAATGGTTTTTAAATTTTCAGACTGGGGCAGTCGTTATAAATTCTTCTCTTCTACGCCCCACGGGTTCAGGCCTGGAGGGAGAAGTCACGTGGACTGTTCAAATCTACAGACCTGCTCCCTCCACTAGCCGATCCTCCGTTATCTGTGTCAGACGTAGCCAGCATGGCCCAGGGCTGAGCGTCTGACACTTTAATGTGCATATGTGTTTCGTAAGGATCCCGTTAAATTACAGATGCAGATGCAGCAGCCGCGGGTCAGGTGGGAACTGAGGTTCCAGCTCTCTAACAAGCTCTCGGGCGATGCTAACGCTGCTGCTCCATGGACCACACTTGTACAGAGAAGACATGTTAGACACAGAGTCAACATTCCTGGCTTCTAGCATCCGCTCTGCCACTTTCTACTTGGTTTCCTTGGACAAGTCACTTTGGCCCTCTGGACTTCAATTTCCTCAAATATAAACTGTGCAACGAGGGAAGAGGGTGTGTGGGTTTGTGTGTGTGTACATCAATGGAATTTTCAGAAGGGCATTTTTACTTTTTAAAAATATATTTTATTGATTTTTTTTTTACAGAGAGGAAGGGAGAGGGGATAGAGAGTTAGAAACATCAATGAGAGAGAAACATCGATCAGCTGCCTCCTGCACACCCTCTACTGGGGATGTGCCCGTAATCAAGGTACATGCCCTTGACCGGAATCGAACCTGGGACCTTTCAGTCCACAGGCCGATGCTCTATCCACTGAGCCAAACCAGTTTCGGCTTGATTTTTAATAACCTCCAAGTACAGAACAATGCGCAGCCTCTCCAGGGACCAACGAATAAAGTGATATTGCAAAGTAGAAACGGTAAGGATGGAATAAGGAGTGATGAGGATGCACAATGGCTTCTTGCAGCAAATAGAAGGTTCTGGTTCTTTCAAAGCAGTGGGTGGTGGATGAAAAAGTGTTGCCTAGAGCGGGGCTGCCACTTTCCTCGACAATCGCTTCCAGAGTCGACCTACCTTACTGAGGACTGAGTTGCAGAAGGAACTTGAATGAGGAAAGCCACGGACAAATAGGAACTTACAAATGAGCAAACCGTTTCAGGAGGATATGAGCGAGGTAAGGCTGGAGGGCAGGTTTCTGGAGTCACCAGGGAGTCTAGTTTGAAAACAACAATTTTTTTTCCTGCTGCAGATGATTTCTGTGTCTAATTTTAGCCAGCTGGCCAGGCATTGAGGACTTTTGACCACAACTATAGGACCTGACGGGGCTGGAGCCTGGGTGGGAAGACAAAGCGCCTCCCCAATGGTTACACGGAAGTTCTAATGGATCAGAGGAAGGAGGGGGAGGATGAGAAAGGGACACGGGCGATTTAAATGAATGAACGAAGCTCCTGACAACCTGAGCCTCTGGTGGCGGCCCCTCCCCCAGAGCACACGCATCTGTGGTTTGAGCAGAAAACAGGATCCAACAGAAAACGCTCCCTAGGCTCACAGACAGGGGCGAGTTTCTTTGTAAGTCCCCAAGCCAAGTCAGGGGAATAGACAGAACTCCTGGTGAGGGCGCCAGCGTTGGGACGGGGTGGGGCCTGGAGGGGTCTTACCTTATGCAGGACATGCTCATAGAAGTCAGGGCCAGCTCCCCCCTGGTAGGAGCCGAGGGTCTGCAGATCCATGTCCGGCTCCGAGTCCGCTGATCCCGCTCTCCCGCGTTCTGTGTCAGAGCTTCGGGAAGCTGGGTCCAGGCTCCAGGCTCAGCTGGGTGCTGCAGGCAGGGGTCTAAGTCCCATGGGCGAGGCCGCATGCGGGTTCAGCACTGGACAGCTCCCCCGGCACCTTGGAGGTTACCTGGAGCGCAGGTCTGAGACCTTGACCTTTCAGCACAGCGATGCTGCCCTCGTGTGCCTGGGACCCGAGTTCTGACACCTGGTTGGTCTGTCTCGTGACTCCAGGATGCAGGGAGGGATGCCAGCTTTCAGCCTAGCCAGCGGCCCGTGCGTATCTCATTCAGCTATGGGGTCTCCGGAGGCTCAGCGACCCGGCTGCATTCGCAGGGCATTGCGATCTGGGAGCTCACGGTTCCTGATTCTCAGTGAACGAGTGTCCCTGTCACACCATGAAGCTCCGCAGGGTTTGCGGAGGCGAAGTCCTGAGATGCTGGTGCCGCTTCTCTGTTCTCCCCGGACATTTGGGACCACTTTCCTAATCTCAGCGGTCTCCGTGCTGTGTCCAGGGGGAGCTCAAAGGTTAAAAACGGAACTTTAACCTTCGACCTGCCAGCGCCCTAGGACCACAATACTATGATTACACTGTTTGTGCTTTTTTCAATATTTTTTAAAATTGATTTCAGAGAGGAAGGTAGAGGGAGAGAGAGAGAGAGACATATCAATGATGAGAATCATTGATCAGCTGCCTTCTGCACACTCCCTACTGGGGATGGAGCCTGCTCCCTGGCATGTGCCCTGATGGGGAATCAAACCATGACCTCCTGGTTCTTAGGTCAACACCCAGCCATTGAGCCACACCAGCCGGGCACGATTACACTGTTTTTAAACTTTCAAGCCATGACTTTGCCTTCTGAACAATCTGTATCGATATATTCCCTTGCTTTCCATCTTCTGGTTGTGTGCCGTCAATGGGGAGCTCCATAGGATTGGGGGGAGCAGGAGGAGGGCAGTGTGGGGGGAGGGTTACTGGGCTTTGCTGTGTTCCTCCACTGATGGTCACACTCCTGTCCGCTACCCCCTGCACGCAGCCCTCTTGGTCCCTGGGTCTGTGCTGGGTCCCTGCTCTCAGCTCTCTTAGGCTGGGAGTGGGTGGGGTGGGGGGATGGAAGCCCAGTAAGAACCCAAACACTGCTCCATCCCTCCTGGCTTCCCAGCTCCTGCCTACACCTTGATCAGTAGTCTGTTTATTAAACCTCCTGGAAAGATCCAATGCGAGTGACCACCTGCTTCCTGCTGGGACCCTGACAGCCAACTGGGGCCTCGGAGGCCGTGAACAATTACTGAGAATCCGATGCCCACAGTGACCCAGAAGGAGCCGGGGATGAACTTGCTCTGGTCGAACTGGACCAGCAGAGATGTCTTCCCCACACCGCTGTCGCCCACCAGGATGGTCTGCAGGGACAAGGAGGGGCGGGAGCTGCAGTGTGATGTAGGTTTCTGAGATGGTGTTGTGGCTGGGTCAGTGAGCTCCTTGTAAACACACGTACACATGTGCATGCACACACACAGACACACAACATACACATGTGTGTGCACACACACAGACTCACACACAGAGACATATTCACACAGATGCACACAAATGCTCACATGGACAGAGGGTAGGCAAATGCACAGAGACACACTCTTACACACAGGTTCAGTCCTGCCATTACTCAGAGACAAGCAGATAGTAACTCTTGTCTCTGGACTCCAAGGGCAGCCTCCTCAGGTGGGCAGGGCCAGGAGGGCCAGGATTAGGGGGCTGGGCCACAGGCAGAGCCTGAGCAGCTCCGAGGCTGTTCACTCCCTGCTCCCACGCCCAAGAAAGGCGAGGAAAGCTCCCGCCCCCTTGGTTTCTCAGGGCCGTCATTTTCCCTGGAAACTAAGCACTCTCCTGTTTTCAGAGACCCTGGGCAGAGGATATGCTTGTGGAGAAGTGGGGTCACAAGGCTGAGCAGGCTCTCACCCGAATGGATAGATCAGTGGTTGGCAAACTCATTAGTCAACAGAGCCAAATGTCAATGGTACAACGATTGAAATTTCTTTTGAGAGTCAAATTTTTTAAACTTAAGCTATATAGGTAGGTACATTGTTTTTTTTTTTTTTTTTTTTTAACTTAATTAGGGTGCTCCTAAGCTGGCCTTTGCTAAAAACTCAAGGGACCAAAGAGCTGCATGTGGCTCTCAAGCCGCAGTTTGCCGACCACTGGGATAGATGATCTTGCAAAGTGAAAGGTCGGTTCTGGTCACTTCCTGGAAAAGCCCTGGCCTGTCAGCTGCTGCGCTTTTCTGTGCAAATAACTCCCCTGCTCTCCTATTTGTTCCTGATGAGGGTAGGAAGGCAGCAGGTCTCACCTTGGGACTCAGTGGATTCTCAAGATGTCACAGGGTGTGTGTGGCACATGGCAAAAGTGGCTCTAGGAGCGAAATATGAGAAAGGCTCTCTCTTTTCCTAAACTCTGAGCCCCACCTGAGGGCTTGCTGGGATCCCAATGGGGGAGGAAGTTAGGGAATGGGCACTGAGTTGCAGGAAAAAGGGAGTAAGACATGCAGAATGTGTCTTAAAAGAAGCAACAGCGATAGGTTTTAGAAGGGTGGGGGTGTGAGGGGGTGGGGGAGTGAGGAGTGATGGAGGATGGCCAGGAGCAATGTGCTGGTTTGTTTTCCTTTTTAAAAAAATTATTTATTGATTGCTTTTGAGAGAGAGAGAGAGAGAGAGAGAGAGAGAGAGAGAGAGAGAGAGAGAGAGAGATTTCCATGGAGCCAATGGCCAAGGCACAATGAACTAGTTTCTTCATTAAGGAGCCCTTGGCATTACTGACAAATTTCTGGAAGATTCAGGCTGGGGTTGATATCCAGTGACAGTGAGTTTCCGGGATGTCCTCAGAACAGAGCCATCTTGCCCCTTGGACAGCAGGGGCCCTGTCTTTGAGCCCCTTTCTGCAGGCTGGGTTTGATAGCCCCTCGGCCTGATCTCCATTCCAATCTCTGCTCCAGAATCTCTCCCCTGACTTTCTGACATTGGCCCCAAGTCCTCCTTCACCTGGTTGAACTCCTGACCTTCTGGGCTCCTGAGAATCTGGCTACACCTGAAATTCCAGGTTTAGGATGTTGTGTCCAATGCTCGGCTCTCTGTTGGGAGTTGGATTCCCCACCAACAGTGCAGAGGATTGTGCAAGTGCCGGCCTGATCATGTGTCTGCAGTTTCTAGAAGATGGAGCACCACCGCAAGTTCTCTCTTTAGAGAACTCTCGTGGCTCTGGGCAGGGAGGTATTACTTAAAATCTTATTCACAGTAACTATGAAATCTTGCCCATTACACCTACTTCCTCTTTTAGTTCTATTCACGCCTGGCAAGTGGCTGGAGGAGGAAGTGTGAGAGTGACTGTGAGTGAAAGCAGAAGGCTGGAGGATGAAGGAGCCGAGCCCGTAGTTTGGTCTTGCTGAGGGGCTCCACCAAGGGGGACCCGTGCGAGGATGAAAATGTACCTGCTGCTGCTCTTTCCCCTCCTCTTTTGGGTTCCAGGTGAGTGGGATTAAGGTCTGAGCTCATGGGAAAAGCTTATGGACAGGAGGGGGTGACTGGCAGCAGGAGAAAGGGGCCCAAGAAGGTGTCCTGCTGAGACGTGGACCCCATTTCTAAGTACTTCCTCCAAGCCATGAGCCTGTGCGGTTCATCCACTCAGATCAGCACCAGAGTTTCAGTGGCTACAGTTGCCAATGAAGAAACATGCAGCATGGCTTTCCCACTGAGCCCAGCTGGATGGGGCCCATCGGCCATGGCAGAGGAGCTCTGGCTACTCAGGAGAGCTGGTGAAGCTTGCTCCTGGACAAGGCAGGCTTTGGGAAAGAAGTGAAGGTGGAAGGTGCTTGAGGGAAGGAAAGCAGGAAGGTTTCCAGACAGGGACGGGGGCGGGGGGGTGGGGGTGGTGATTCCAGGTCTTTGAGGTCGAAGGAAGGAAGTAGCAGAAGTTGCCGAGGGACTGGAAAAATCCAGAGGAGGTAGCTTGGTAGGGTGAAGAGGAAAGGAGGGGGACAGAGGGTTGAAGTGAACTTGAAGTTGATGGATACCAGCAGTTTGATTAAAAATTAAAAGGATTGTGTTAAAAATGTTGGAAGGCCTCAGGGCCTGGCCTTTGGGCTTCTCTCTGTGGAGTCACTCCCTTGTTGATCTCCTCTCCTCTTTTGGCTTTAAATGCTGTCTGTATACAGATGACTCCCAATCCTGTATCCCTCGTCCCTGGACATCTTCCTATCGATAGATTCCTGATAGAATCTTCTACCCAGTTGCCCATCGAATAGCTTCACTCAGATATGGACATTTCAAATGTGACCTGACCACACCTGCCCCCTTGAATTCTCTTCTGTCCCACCCTTGCGTTGGGAACCTCCATCCCTCTAGGTGCTCAGACAAAACCTGGGGACATCCATCCCCTCTCATATCCCATAATGACCCTTTACAATGTAAGCCACATTCTGTCTCTCCTCTAGCCAAAACCTTCCAATGGCCTCCCAGCCTACTTGGGGTAAAAATATAGCTCCTTACTGAGGAGCTCACCATCTGAGTTCTTCCATCACATCATTGCTCTGGTCTCTTCTCTATTCTGCTTCCCCTGGTTCAATCCACTTCAGCTACAGTGGACTTTTAGATGTTCTTTGAACATATTAGGCACTACTAACATGTCTTTGGGTCTTTGCATCAGGGTCTTTGCACTACTATTCTCTTGAGCCATGGTCCCTCACATCTTTCAAGTCTTTGCTTCTCATGAAGGCCTTCATTGATGACCCTAATTACAATAACAATTTTTTGCATCATTTTTCTCCCGTTTGTCTCCTCCCTTCCCCCACCTTGATTGCATATAAGCTTCAGGAAGGCAGGGATTTTTTGCACCTACAACCATACCAGGTACAGATTAGACAAATAGTATGAGTTAAGAGAGTGAATGTATCTAATGGAGAGGAAGCCATGTGATTGTTGTAACGACCCCACCCCCAGATCAATTTTTTCTACTTTCATAGAAATGAACTATTGAGACTTAGGACATACATTGAGACTTAGATAGGACATACATTGAGAATTAGAGAGGACATACATTGTCATGGGTATGTAAAAATGGTGTAGCCACTTTGGAAAATAATTTGAAATTCTTGAAAATGCTAAACATGTGGTTATCATGTGACCCAACAATTACACTACTAGTAAACACCCAAGAGAATTGAAAATATATGTCCATGTAAAAATTTTGATGCAAATGTTCATGGCAACATTATCTCTAATATCCCTACAGTGGGAAAAACTCATATGTGCATCAACTCATACATAAATAAATATAATGTGGTCTGTCCATATGATGAAATTTTTTAAAGCACCTTTTTATTAATATACTTTTTATTGATTTCGGAGGGGAAGGAAGAGGGAGAGAGAAATATTGATAACCTGCTTCCTATACACCGCTACTGGAAATCAAGCTCAAAACTGGGCATGTGCCATGACTTGGATTGAACCATGACCTCCTGGGCATAGGTTGACACTCAACCATTGAGTCACACTGGGCAGGTAAATACTCATTAAGTTTTAAGAAAAATGAAAATACTACATATCAAAATTTAGGCAACATAGCCAAAGCTGTATTCAAAAGTAAATTCTTAGGAAAAACTCTAACAGTTGTCCGAAGAGTTCCACAGAGATACCCTGTGAACCAGCAATTGCATTTCTAGGAATATAGCTGAGAGAAGTGAAGACACACATCCAAGCAAAAAAGTATATATGAACGTTCATAGCAGCTGGATCTCCTGAGGCCCTCAGCGCAGGTCAGGAGCAAGCACACTCATGTGGAAATGGGTCCACTGGTGCTTCCTCCCCATGAGACCAGCTTAACACAGAGATGCTGCAAAAGGACAACGATTTAGGGGCCACAGGGAGCAGGAGGGAGTGAATTATAGGAGGTAATGATTGCTCAGAGTCAATGCCTTTGTTTCCTTGAGCTCTGCAGTGGCACTGTTAGGTGATTTTGAGGTGGCTCTGAGCCAGTGGAATTTGAAGGACTAAGGTCTGCGTTGTGGCAGGTGATTTCCTTCCTTGACTCTGTCCCACTCATCAGGCCTTGGACTTGTTGGAGCTGCTCACAGTGCAGAAGGCTGGGGCCATGGTCTTGGGGTGGGGTTGAGGGGGTAAGGTGACAGATACATGGATTTGTGTTTTCCAGGCTCATCAGTTGACATCTCAGGTCCAGAAGCAGTGAGAGGTCTGGAGCGGGGATTGCTGACTGTGCAGTGTCACTATGACCCAGGGTGGAAGGCATACCTGAAGTGGTGGTGTCGAGGGGCTGTTTGGAGCAGTTGCAAGATCCTTGTTCAAACCAATGGATCAGCGTTTGGGGTGAAGGAGCGTGTGTCCATCTGGGACGATCAGACAAACCACACGTTCACTGTGACCATGACGGAGCTCAGGCCAGAAGATACAGACACTTACTGGTGTGGGATTAAGAGAACTGGAACTGACCCTGGGTTCCCTGTTAGAGTGACCGTTGACCCAGGTAAGAGCATGTGCATGTGTGTCTGTGTCCTTTCAGGGCCTGCTCTGCCCTGGTCCCTGAGGTCCCTCTCCAGTGACTGAAGGTCCCTCACTCAGATGAACTGCCACCGAGGGGGTTGGTCCTGAGGTCTCGGGGAACCCCGGCTGCTCACGTGGGTTGGGAGGTGCAGGGCTTCTCTTACATGCTCTTGGGGCTCAAGATGGGATCAAGCCTTTCTGGGCACATTTTTCCTCCGCACAGCTCATCGCCTCAGTCCATTGCCCTTAGAGACCACGGGGGTGGCCCCAGGTTTAGCTCATGGGCAGAAGGAAGCCTCTTCTGTGGGAGCCAGTTCCTGCCAAGGCTTCCCTGGCACCTCTGGTGCCCTGGTGTCTCTGCTCTTTCTGGAATTTTGGGTCCAGGCTCATAGCTGCTGTTCCCACCCCTTGTCCATATCTGATCTCAGGAGGAAGGAGGCCCAGCACGGGTGGGGTGCTGTGGTTCACTCCTGAGGTCAGGAAAGGCTTCCACAGCCAAACAGTTGCACTCTGGGTGCCTTAATCCCATTATGAGCCATTGACACATCTGTGCTCAGAGACGCTCTCTTCTAAGACCTTCTAGAATAGACGCTCCTGGGAGCATCCAGGTGTGAACAAGTGTATGTGCTGGGCTCTGCTCCTGCCCACCCTTGGACAGCCAGCACCAGCTCACAGCGCACTTATGGCAGGGAGGGAACACACTCATAGCGCCCCCACCACACCTGGAACTCGGGAGGCCTGGGTAGCTGCCAAGTGCAGCACCTTCCTTGTCTCATGGGACCTTGAGAAGGATCCTGAGAAGGAGCTACCCCATCACAGAAACTTAAAAACTTGTCCAAAGAAAAGGCTGTTCCCGAACATGGTGAATTTGCTCAGGGCTGGCCCTGACCTGAGATGTCATAGCTCTTGGGTATGTTAGTTACCTGGCACGTTCCCGCTCTGCTCTTGTCCTTGCTGGATAAGTAAGGTGGGGAGGTATTGGCGGAGGCCCTGCCATAAACAGCGGGAGTGTTTCAAGTTTAGCTGAACTCCAGCTGCCATTGCCCTGAGGCAATCCTGGGCCCCTGAGCCTTCCCGGGCCTGTGTGGTGGCCCCTTGGACCTGTGCCCGGGTCTCCTACAGCCAAGGAGGCCTGAGTGGTCCAGCTGGAGGCGCCTTCCCGGGGCCCTGCCCCAGGCTCTGCAGGCCAGGGCAGCCCACATTCCTCCCTGGCTCTGAGCTACGTGCAGCGCTGTGGGGGGATTAGCAGAAGAGTGGAATGTATTCTGTTCTGTATGACAAGCAACAACTACAGTGCCGACCCCCACCCCCAACATCACCTCCACTGCCAACGCGCTCACAGTACCAGACACCCCAGAAGACACGACAGGCTTCCTGAATGGGACCAGCCACCACTCTGATGGCAGGTAAGTCAGCTTGGATGCTGCAGTTCCCTGTGGCCTCCTTGTCCCAGACTTTTCCATGTGGGAGCCCTTTGTAGTGCCACGTCCCAGCCAGGATGCCAGGGGCCCTTCCACTTGCTCTCAGACCCCCCAGTTTCCTTGGTGAGATGCACCACACCTCCCCCTTCCCCTTCCCCCTGCCCCCATCCAGCGTCCTGGAGCTCAGTGCAGTTCGGAGGTTGTTGGTTCATTCATGCATCCATCCCACTTCCACTGAGTTAAATTCTCTTTGGCCGGGACTGTGTTGAACTCAGGTCACACAGACATGGAGCGTCCCGATGGAGCTCAGAGTGTGGGAGGTGGAGGAGCAGGCAATCAGGGCAGAGGGCATGGCCAGGGTGTGTGGGCACAGGGTCATGGGGCCACAGTGCCCCCTGGTCTAAATCCTGGGAGAACAGGGAGGCCCTGGGGAAGTCCTGTTTCCCTAGTTACTGTTATGGCAACAGCAGTGATCCTGATAGGCCATCCTGTCTCTAGAGCCCCTGGCAGCTCACGGAGGACGTTCCTGTGTGTTATTCTGTTTGTACTTCCACTCTGCCGACGACTACGCACATCCCATCCTCAGACTTCCCACACCAGGGACTCCTTAGTGCCGTTACCCACCACACTTCTCTCTGGAGAGTTTCTCTCTACCGGACTGCTTTTAACAAGTAATAGCAAGGAGCTTCTCATTTTATGACTCAAAGCCAGGTGTGAGTACCAGTTAGGACTTTTGCTCAAGATAATGCATTCATTTATTCAACAAGTAGCTATGGAGCCCTCTCATATCTGACACCGATTTAGGGAACACAGCGGGATAGGAGGGTGAACAGAACAATCAAGCTGTCTGTCTGCACTCCAGGCACTTACAATCAAGAGATAATTAATATATCAAATAGAGTAATTGAGTAATTAATTGATGAACTTATTTTACAAATTTCTGTAAATAATGATGAGTAAGAGATAATCCTTATATACATCAGCTTGGGCTGCCATCACAAAGCAGTGTCAGCTTAAACAACTTTCTCACATTCTGGAGGCCAGAAGTCTCAGTCAAGGTGTCGGCAGGGTTGGTTCCTCCCGAGGCCTCGGTCCTTGGCTTGTAGATGGCTGTCTTCTCCCTGTGTCTTCCCATGGTTTCCCCTAGTGTGTGTCTGTGTCCCAGTCTCTTCTTATAAGAACCCCAGGCATTTCCTCCCAGAAGAGCAAGCAAGAGTGAGAAGAGTAAGAAATGAGGAGAGCAGGTGGGGGTGGCGGGAGGTGCGGGGGGTTGGGGGGCAGTGGAGGCCAATGCCAGCCTTGGCCATTTTCTTAGAATGAAGTGGGGTTGTTATGGGATTTTGAGCACAGGAGGGAGGTGCTGGAACTTTGGTTAAAAGCATTTCCTGGCTGCTGTGTTATTGATGAACTGTAGTGTGGTATGTATGTATGTGTGTGTGTGTGTGTGTGTGTGTGTGTCTGTGTGTGGTGGAATGATATATGAGCTTCCTGTGGCTGCCATACAAAATTGCACAAACTGGGTGACTTAATTAACACAAGACAAGTTTATTCTCTCACAGCCCAGGAATCATAATCTGAAATCAAGATGTTGACAGGGTTGGCTCCTTGGGGCTCAAAGGTAAAAACTGTCCCATGCCTCCATCTTGGCAGTTGGTGGCCGGCAATCCTTGGAATTCCCTGGCCTATGGCTGAATCACTCCCATCTCTGCCCCTGTTGTCACATGGTCTCCGTAACTGTATCCCTGTTGCCCAAATTTTCCTTTTATAAGGACACTAGTCATTGGGGTAGGCCCACCCTAATCTAGTATGACCTCACCTTGATTACATCTGCAAAGATCTTCTTTCCAAATAGGTTATCTTCCCAGGTTCTGAGTGACATGAACTGTGGGGTGGGGACTAGGCAACCAGGCCTGAGGACCAGTGAGGAAGCAGGGAGACCTTGCCGGTGCCCATTGTCACACCACTTCTCTTGGGCTTCTAGACCCATTGAAACTACCTTGTGGAACCCTCCTCTCACTTAAAAACAACCACCATTTTTGAGGGCGCCCAGGAGTGGGGGTTCCCAGGCAGGAAACGGCAAGCCGGAAGGTGTGTGACCCTGTCTGCTCCGGGTGGGTGGGAGAAGGCCCAAAGGCAGGGGGTGAGCAGGGTTCACAGGTTTCTTCTGTTGATTCCAGTGGCGTCTCCCTGAAGCTCTCCATCCTCCTGCCCATCCTCATTGCTCTGGTGTTGCTTCTCTTGGTGGCAGCCTCACTGTTGGTGTGGAGAGTGATGAAGCGACAGAAGGAAGGTGAGAGGACCTGGTTGGGTGGAAGTGTGTGGGTCAATGGCTGGGATGGTCATCCAGAATGCAATGGTCCACGGGATTGCCCACAGGACTTGGAAGGGGTATTTTCCCGAAGGCCACTGATAGCTGAGCCCAGGAGGTGCTGGCTTTAGTTTTCTGCTTTGCCTACCCCTCCTTGCTCTTCTCTTCTCTCTGACCCATCACCTCCTTCTCTGTTTCCTGACTTGACTCTTGGTGGCAGAAGCGGCCTGACCATTCTGGCAACCCAGACACTTCAGTGAAATTCATATGGTTGCCAAGGAGGTACTGAGCTGACAGAGAGGTAGGGAGAAACACATGTGCAAGGAATATGCACACACGTAACAAAGTGCACACACACATGAACACATATGTGCACACATACATATACAAACACACATGCATACTTGCATATGCGTCACACACAGAGTCCTGGGTTTTATTATAAAGGTTGGCTGAGATGCCTACTTTTGCTCCTCCTTCGACCCAGCCATTCACTCTCAAGCCAGCATCATCCAACAGGGGACCTGGCCCCAAGCAAACCCTCCTCCTGTCTGGCTCCCCTTCCACATCCTCACATATGGCACCGCCCCTTCTCAGCGCCCACTGGGACCTGCGCTCTCTCTCATGGGGTCCTCTCCAGCCTCCTCCCTCCCCACAGCCTGGGGATCTTATAATCAAGGAGGAGGGAGCCTGGCTTTGTTCACCAGATTTTCTCCCAAGTGCTTTGTCCGTGGCTCAGGTGATCAGTACCCGCTGTGCTCAGTAGTATCTAGGGTTTGAAACTAAAAATCTGACTGTTTTTGTCTTTTAGCTGCTGGGATACCTCCAGAGCAGGTAAGAGAGTCCCTGGGGTCAGACCAGCACGTTCCCTCATTTTCCATCTCCCGGGGACCCCAAGGTCCAAAGGTATCAGACAGACCATGAGCCCCAGTGTCCAGATCCTCCCAGCTGCAAGGCCAGGGTGGAAGGAGGCGGTGCTGGAAACAGCCAGGGGAGTGGAGGCCTGGGAGGAGGAAGGCAAAGGAGACAGAGAAGTGAGGGCTGCAGGGGAAGCTGGGGGGAGGGGCAGGGCAGCGGAGGGACTGGCGTCCTTCTGCGGAAGAGGAACCAGGGCTTCCTCTCCCAGGTGCTGCAGCCCCCGGAGGACAACATCTGCTATGCCAACCTGAACCTGAAGCAGACAGGAGACTCGCCCAGCTCCCCCAGGAAGAGGGCCCTCACCCAGCCCTCCTCCCCTGCCCAGGACGACTCGGGGGAGGTGGATTACATCAGCATGGTGGGTACTTGGTGGGGCTGCTGTGGGCCTTGGAGCGTGTCCCCCAGCCTCAGGGAGGCCTCCTCATCTCATCCACCATCCCTGCTTTGAGGATGGACCTTCTCCCGCCCCTGTGGGCACAGAGGAGGGTGGGAGCCGGGCAAAATCGCAGCCATTGAAAGACTTGCCTGCTGAGCTCCCCAAGGTGCTCCCCAAGGCGCTTGGCCTTGGGAAGTGTCTCCATATCAGGTCTCCACATGGGGCACTGGGAGCCTGGTCCGCGGAGACCCAGACTGGCCCAGTGCCCTGGGAGCACACGCAGACCCCGCTGCCCTGGCCTGGAGCGGAGGGAGAGTCTCTGCTGTGGCTGCAGCTCAGGGTGCCCTGCAGGGAGGAGGGAGGCGGGGATGGAAGGCCTGGGAGTGGACTTCAGAGTTCCTGAGGGGCGTGTCCCCCAGCCTCAGGGAGGCCTCATCTCATCCATGAGCACCTCTCCCCCCCAGCCTCCCTGACCCATGTGCGTCTTTGTTACAGGCCCCCATTTCGGGGACAGATATTTCCTACGCGGCTCTGACTCTGAACACCTCAGAACAGGAATCAATCTACATCAACACGCATGACCTCGTCACCCCCCTTTCCAGCAGGAGCCAGGAGGAGCTCATCGAATACAGCGCCATCAGGAAGCCTTAGCTGTGCCGAGGGCCCCCTGACCGACCCCACAGGAGGCCCGTCAGCACATTCCTGCCTCGTCTGCTTTCTGCCCCCAGGCCTCTCATCACCGCAGACCGGAACTGGGCTCCAAGCCTGGTCTCAGGGGGCTTCTGGGAGCTAGAAAGGGGTCTCCCCATATCCCTTCCTCTCCCAGAAGCTAGGGCTACGGTCTGTGGCAGCTGAGGGAGGATCATGACAATAATATGATGATGATCAGGACAATAATAGTAACGAACCTTTATTTATTGCTGCCGTGTGCGGTGGGTGAATAATGTTCTATGTGTGCTCATCTCCAGAACCCGTGAGCGTTAGCTTCCATGGCCGTAGGGCCCGGGCAGATGTAATGACATGAAGGACTTGGAGAGGGGGGATTGTTCTGCGTTATCCTGGCAGGCCCTAAATGGAATCACAAGGCTCCTCCTTACAAAAGGGAGGCAAGAAGGTCACAAGAGAAGGCGCTGTGATGAGGGCAGCAGAGGTTGGAATGCTGTGGCCAGGAGCCAAGGAAAGCTGTCGCCTCTAGAAGCTGCAAAAGTCAAGGATGGGATCCGTCAGAAGGAGCCAGCCTGGCGGAGACCCTCACCTAAACCCAGTGGAAGGGATCTGGAACTTCTGGCCTCCAGAGCTATAGGAGAATAAATGTACATGTTTCCATTGAGCCACTAAATTGGAAGAAATTGATTAAGCAACATTGGAAACAGATATCCTATTGTGGCAGGCACTCTTTCCTAAACGCTCGACCTATAGTAATGTATTCAGTCCTCACAACTGGACGCCTCTATTACTGTCCCATTTTACAGATGAAGAGTCGAGGTCCAGAGAGGTTCAGTGACTACCCGAGTGTTTTCACCAGCAACGGATGAGTTGGAATTTGAACTTGGGCATTTTGCCTCCAAAGTCTGGGCTACCACCTTGCACTATGGGTTAAGGAAGGAGAGAGAGAGAGAGAGAGAGAGAGAGAGAGAGAGAGAGAGAGAGAGAGAGAGAGAGAGAGAGAGAGAGAGAGAGTGTTCAGGCATGTGCATTCACACAGGGATAGTTAGTGACTATTTACAAACTCTGGACTCACCATGCTTCTTCTAGAGTCCCAGTAGCCCTCTCTCCAGAGCATGTCCTGAATCCTGTCCTAATCCCATTGTCTCCATGGTGACCAGCCTCATCCAAGCTACCATCCAGTCTCTGGCTGGAGTCTCTCTTTCCACCCCTGCCCATTCTCTCAGCAGCCAGACCTGCTCACTCCCTGCTTCTCAGCCTCGGTGGCTTCTTCCATAGCCTATGAGGCCCCTGGGACCCATGGTCCCCGCCTGCACCTAGGACCCCTCCAATTCTCCCTGGCCCTCTCTGCCCTTCCTCCCCAGGGCCTCCCTGCTGTCCTTGAACACAATAAGGCTTGTTAATCCTCACCTGAGGACATATCTTTTTTCCATTGATTTTCTTAGAGGGAGTGGAAGGGAGGAAGAGATAGAGGTAGAGACTGAGATAGAGAAAATATCTACGTGGGAGAAACACATCAATTGGTTGCCTCAGGCTCAGGGGCCTACAAGTGTTTATCAGGCCACTATCAGTGGGTCTGCTCACTCCCTGCTTATCGCCCTCTGCGCCTTCCTCTACCGCCTCACCTCTTCCAGCTGTGGACACTAGGAGCCTGGGGAGGTAGGTGGCCATCCCAGCGTGATGGTGCTCTCACTCCGGGGGAATTCCCTGGCATGGCAGGAGCTTTAGGATGGTGGGGAGTTTGCAGAGCCCTGACAAGCTTACGTATTCTTGGGCCGGTCATCTAAGCTGCTGGGGTCAGAGAGAGACTGTGTGACCCGGGCCGTTTTAGGACTTACACAGAACAGGAAGTGCTGACAGAGAGAGCTTTAAAAGGAAAAGGTCAACGCCGAGCAAAACCAGAGTGAGTCAAAATAGAAAATAAAAGTCAGAATAGAAAGCCTTGGGCCAGGGCACCGCTGTGCCATGCTAACTTCTGTGTAGAACGTGGCTTTACTGCTGAGTTTTAAGCAGCCAGCGCCAAGCAGAATCCATAACGAGTGAAGATTCCTGCCATGGATCTTCTGACATAAATTGAGAAACACCAGGGAGACGAGGATGTAGTTCAGTTTAGTGTGGCTGGAGGACTCTGTTTTTTTTTTTCTGGACAGTGGATATGGGCTGGGAATGGAAGTTTCTGGCAGCCTGGCTGAGCTGAGAGAAAGTAAACCAGCTTAGAAAGACAGATCCATGCCCGGCTGGCATGGTTCATTGTTGAGCATCGACCTATAAACCAGGAGGTCACGGTTCAATTCCCTGATCCCCGGTATGGGGTGTGCAGGAGGCATCCGATCAATGCTTCTCTCTCACCATTCATGTTTCTGTATTTCTCTCCCTCTCCCTTCCTCTCTGAAGTCAATAAAATTATATATTTTTAAAAGAAAGACATCCACTCTGACCCCTTTCAATTGCTTTATCCAAGCTTTTATAAAGGTGTCTACCAGACATATTGCTGGATTGGTGACTGTCTTTAAAGGGACCTTTTCATGTCCTCAGAGACGGGGTTGACTAGCCCGTGGCATTTGGGAAAGCCGCCCAATCCGATCTACAGCGGCACGGAGCAGACTGCTGGCTGTGGTCCTCCTGGGAAGCATCTGGGTCCTTTAGGGTGACCTGTCTGCAGGAATCGACCTCGAAGCCAGCCCAATTTGTTCAAGCCAGAACTGGAGTTTAGACCGTGGTCTGGCGGTGGTCAGGGCCCTGGGGGGAGGGAGGGGGAGAGGGGGGAGGAGGGAGGAAAGCAGACATATGCAAGAGGTACGAAAGGAAGGAAGTTGTTTCGTAATGTTTATAGATTGGCATCTCGGTGTTGTCTCAGCTGTATCCGGCTGCTCCACCAATACTTTCAGGCAGATTTAGGTGCTGGGCTCGCACCTTTACTTCATGCAAAGGAGGGAAAGTCCAGACTTGGTTCTTCTGGTCTGAGCGACGGTGGCATTTGCCATTTTGCAGTACGGTTTCCGGGAAAGCGCACTTCTGTGAGGGCAAAGTCCCCGGTATCTAACCACTCAGTTCTGCCAGAGTGCCTCATTAGTCACGGCCTGACTAATGCTCCTCGGGCTTCCCTCCTCTGGCTTTTGAATTATTAATACATAAAGATTCTACTTTATCCAAGTTGTAGGGTTTGGGCAGTCTTCTTTTGAGAATGATGTGCTTTCAGAAGACTGAACCTTTCTGAGAGTCAGTTGACAGAGAGTTATACCGGACTGGTAACCTTCAAAAATGCACAATGAAGACAAGTGTTGGATATTCAGAGATGGAGAAGCGTCGATCAGACTGTCAAACCTCAGAGGGAAGGTAGGGGAGGGTGAGGGTAAGGGGGTGAGATCAACCGAAGGACTTATATGCATGCATGTGAGCCTAACCAATGGACACGAACACCAGGGGGGTGAGGGCATGAGTGGGGAAGGGGTTGAGAGGTTAATGGAAGGATGAGGACACATATGTAATACCTTAATCAATAAAGAAATTAAGACAACAAACAAACAAACAACAGCCCTTTAGCCTGGGGAGGACCAGGCTGCTGAACTAAGTCAATTTCACGTAATCAGCAATTTTTTAGAACCAGAAGGTCTGATCTGGCCTTTTATTTTACCAAGTAGGTGTGTTTTTCGCCAATGCGATTGGAATTGGTAATTGACCAGTTCATTGAAAGAGTCGGTTAAATCAGGGAATCATGAAAGAGGCATTCCTCTTCTAAATGCGTTGTCTTGCTCCACATATCTGAGTGTGTAGCAATTGGCCAGTAGTTTGCTGTAGACCTGAGCCATTCCCTTGCCTTTCCTTTCAGGGGCCGTTGCCGGTTCGGCCTGAACTGCACACATGTGTGGGGCTGGAGCCCAGTTCCAGTTTGTCTAACGTGGAGCAAGACGCGTGAGACACTTGTGAAGCAATAGGATTGCAAAACCCTGACTCATTTTCCTGTTTTTACTCGGGATAGTTCAGTTCTCTCACTCATTCCTAATTTGACCGCATTAAAAAAATGACGTGCTTCTATTGAGTCTCTCCAAAGCGTTCCGTTTAGTTTTTGTAGAAATAACAGTTCTCTTTTGCTTACACTCTTTCATCAATGCCCTTTCTATTGATTCTCCTCGTTGATTAGCTTATGGCTGCAGGCATTAAATCACACCGTTACGATGACTGTGCACAACAGGCCTAAGCAAGTTTGGGCCTGAACACAGTTGACTCTTGGGCTTTTTTTTTTTTTTTTTTTTTTTTTTTTTAATATATTTTATTGATTTTTTACAGAGAGGAAGGGAGAGGGATAGAGAGTTAGAAACATCGATGAGAGAGAAACATCAACCAGCTGCCTCCTGCATACCACCTACTGGGGATGTGCCCGCAACCATAAGGTACATGCCCTTGACTGGAATCAAACCTGGGACCCTTCAGTCCACAGGCCGATGCTCTATCCACCGAGCCGAACCAGCTAGGGCCAGTTGGCTCTTGTTAAACGCTCACCTCAAGGGGTGAGAACAGAAAATCTACCCTTTGCTACAGGGACCATGTCAGTATGTTTCACCAAGAGACTAAAGGCTGTTGGTTGAACTAGTAAGAGTGGGATTGGCTAAGAAAGTTTCCCCTGCACCATCTGTTATGAACATAATCTCATAAGAGAAAGGACATTTGAGGACCCCCAAGTCCGAATAGCCGTCAGTGTTTCCCCAGAAAAGATGGTTGGTGACTTTATGCCAATGTGGACTTACGTTGTGTGCACCTAATCTCCCAAGGGATGGACACGTTGTCAAGGGCAGGCGCTCACATAGGGACTCGGGATTGGCAGCCAGTGATCTCATTCATACTGTTCTCTGGACATGATCCCCTCCAGTATGAACCAGCTGGTATAGTCTAGCATTCTCTTCACGACCTCCCGTAACCCTGGGCGTCTGGATGCTGACCCAGGCTGTCAGTCATGAGTGCCCTATGGCCCAATGCCAGACTCCCCCTGCCCTGCACAAGCCCTTCCCCACAGTGATTTCAGACTCACATGGCCCTGCCCTGAGGGTGCGGGGTTCTTGCATCAAGACAGGGTGACTGACTCATTGGTTTTCCCAAGAACCTCTGAGGACAGGTTCAGAATTAAGGAATGGGTAAGACTCCATTTCTAAGGTGCAGGAACAGACAAGACACATGCCGAACCCTCGTGCGTTAGAAAGTCTGTGCTTAGCAGAGCAGAAGAGGTCTTCTCTGCAGGTCCCTGGGGGGAAATCCCACCCTGGCGAGTCTCTGAGGTCTCCTCCATCCCTTTCCGTCACCTTCCTCTCTTCTGTGCCACCAACCCAGATGGCCCCAATCCTACCACTTACTAGTTTATTAATTTTTCATTTTACTTTATAAAACATCTGGTGCACACTACATAATTATATGAAGTGTACACATGTTATAAAGGATAGTGCTGAAGAAATGGAACATTACAAATACCACTGAAGCCACACAGCTCATTATGTGCCTTTTTTTTTCTTCCAAAGAGGAATATGGCTGCACAGGTAGCTCTAGCAGTCCGTTGCAGCCCTTGGCCCACTATTCTCACCTTCATGTTAATGGGTAAAGCCATCAGATGAGCTAGTCTGCATTCTGTGGTATTCTTTTTAATTTATTTTTAAAATACATTTTATTGATTTTATTTTTACAGAGAGGAAGAGAGAGGGATAGAGAAACATTGATGAGAAAGCACATCAATCAACCCCCTCCTGCACACCTCCTACTGGGGATGTGCCCGCAACCAAGATACATTTCCTTGACTGGAATCGAACCTGGGACCCTTCAGTCTGCAGGCTGATGCTCTATCCACTGAGCCAAACCAGTTAGGACATGTGGTATTCTTTAAAAAAAATTTTTTTTATTGATTTCAGAGAGGAAGGGAGAGAGAGAAAGGAATAGAAACATCAATGAGGAGAGAGATTCACTGATCGGCTGCTTCCTCTACACTCCACACTGGGGATTAAGCCCGCAACCCGGGCATGTGCCTTGACCGGGAATCAAACCATAACCTCCTGGTTCATAGGTTGGTGCTCAACCACTGAGCCATTGGGCCAGGCTACTCTGTGGTATTCTGTACTAACCTGACAAGTCTGTGCAGCTCCTGTCATTTTAATATTTTTCTCCCCTCACCCCAATGCCTGATCATGTCTGTGTTGTTGAAGGACCTGGTGACTGGTTTGTCACTTGAAAAGTACTGGAAGGAGTTCCAAAGCTCAGCTAATGTTCTCATTTCAAATTTTACACAGTCTTTGCGGGACTAATGATCATAAGCCACAGAAGCGGAAGAACTAAGCCCGGAGACACAATGTCCTCCCATGGAAACACCGTGCTGTCTGGCTCATGGCAAGTGAAAGCAGAACTGGGAGAGAAAGCATTTTATCTTAAAATACAATGAGACAGAGAACAGATGTGAGAGCAGGTGATGGCAAAGTGAAAGAGGTTCTGCCCCGAGCAGCCTTGATGTCAGTACATCTTGGCTTGCTTCCCTGGAGCTGTAATTGTGCAGTTGGGTTTTGATGGAGCCAGATTCCCAGGGGATAATGTTGCTCAGCTCCTAAGACCCAATTAAGGGTGACTCAGTGCATCAAGCCTCCTTTGCAGGGGCATCTGAGCAGCCCTGGGGCAGTCTTGAATCTGCAACGTGAACAAGTGTCCTCCACTGGTATAGACTCCGGTGTTTGACCTGGGCCAGGCGGAGATTGTTGCCAAGGCTGTGCTAAAATTTTATGACGTCTTTGCATAAAAGTTATTAAGACTTTCAACATGGAGACCCCAGGGTGTTAAACCAATCATGAGGCCCTTCTAAATGTGGGGCCCTGTGTGACACCCATGAAGGCACACTTGTTTGGCAGGCATCCCCCTCACTTGTCACCAGCCTTCGTGTGACCATGGCTGCTTATGCCTTCTACCCTCTGGAAAAACCCAGGCACTTTCACCAGCTCACCCTGGTCCCAAAAGGAGAAGAAAGAGCTTACCCTAATTCTAGCCGGAGCCTCCCCTCCTGTGTCCTCGTCCCCTGTCCCCACATCAACCTTCTCCTTGGGTGGTTGAAAGCTGGGTCATCTATTCCCTCTACAGGAAAGTCTGCTCTCACCCAAAGGGTGAGGTCTGGCTTCAGGGCCCCAATAAGTCAGTAATTTTATAGGGTGACATCAGCTCATTGCCTAAAGTCCAGTTATTAATAACCTAAGTCTGATTATGCAGTCTTTTTTGGGGGGGGAGGGAAGGGAGAGGAAGAGATAGAGAGAAACATTGATTTCAGAGTGAAACATATCAACTGCCTCCTGCATGCCCCCGTGGGGGATCAAGCGTGCAACCCAGACAAGTGCTTGGGCTGGGAATCAAACCAGCAACCTTTTGGTGCACCAGAAGACACCCAACCAACTGAATCACACTGGCCAGGGCTGGTTATTCGTTCTTAAATGACACCATGTGTGAGACACAACTAGCCCAGCTGAGGTGAGAGAATGACAAGTTTATTCCTTTTTCAGTCACTTCTCACTGAGGACATAAAAATATTGGGACCCAGCCTCCCCTGTGATGACCCTGGGAGCAGCGGCTGTGGCTTCAGGGCTACCTACAGCTACCACCACCCCTGTCTTCTGGGAAATCAAGCTCCTCCACTCATCTCCAGGGCTGGGCATGTGACCCATTTCAGTCCAATGAACGTTGGGTCTAGGTTAGGGGTGTCAAACTCAATCAGAGAAGGGGCCAAAATCTAAAATCCAGCCTAAATCGCGGGCCGAATGGTTTACTGAACAGTCGTAAACTGTCATTGTGATAGAAACGCAGCGGAGTGCAGTGATGACAGCGCGGTGCGGGCCACATTGCAAGGCCTGGTGGGACGGATTTGGCCCGCGGGCCTTGTGTTTGACACATGTGGTCTAGGTTGAGAGACCCAGAGAGGAAAACCCATGCCATTGCTCAGGTCACCAGACCCAACTGGCCAGCACCCCCAGGCTTCTCAGTTGCGTGAGCCAATGAACTCTCTTTCTGCTTCAGATGGTTTCAGTTAGGGGGTTTGCTTTGCCTTTAAAAGGCTCTTAACAACAAAAGAGATGGAGGGACTGAGAGCAAGAACATGTCATCACTGGCCCTGCTTATACCTTGTGAAAGGAGGTGTGTGTGTGTGTGTGTGTGTGTGTGTGTGTGTGTACACAGATGGCAGCCAGGGGCAGAGGTGCAGAAAGCAAGAAGAATTAAGAGCTTAAACATGACTTGGTTCAAGACACCTAAAATTATACAAGTGATAAAGACATGGAAAGGCATTTGCAGAAGCAGATGTTGTTAAACAACATCTCCACCTGGATGGGAAAAGCTGTCCCTGCTGAGCAGAAATGCAAATAAGAGGAGGGAACAGACGTGGGCATCAAGGTCAGGGCATAGGAACCACTTGCTAGGGGAACTCTGGAGCTCCACGTATTCCAACAATTATACCATTATTTCCCCTGGGAGGATGGACCCAGGCTGCGCCCCGCTGGGAAGGGCATTGCTGCCTCCTCCACCCTCTCCTGTGGGCACAGGGAGGGCTTCTCTGGCCTGAGCGGGGAGGTGGAGACAGGGCAGGCCGGGTAAATTTAGAGCCACTTCAAGTGTCCGTTTCACACTTCCCCCACTGGGTGCTCACCTCTGGTTGTTTACCTCTGGCCAAGCTGGGCTTCCTGCCCTGAAAATGGAGGAAGTCAGAGCCCTTCCCCAGAGTAGCTTAGAAGAGGAAACATCAGCACACCAACCGTCATGCGTTTCAGGAACTTTCTCATGAGAGGCCCCAGGGACTCTGCAGAGAGGGGAGCGCACAGAGTGTGAAAATGACGCTGGGGGTGGGTCTGAGTCACCGTCCTGTCCTTTACTGCTCAGACTGTCCAGGGGACCAGCCAGCGCCACTCCCTGTGCCAGCTGCCTGCCCTGGGATCTGGGCAGGACCCACAATACAGCAATGACCAGTGACGTAACCTGCACTTCATCTATTTATCTGAAAGTCTCCCAGCACTCCAGCAAGAGGCCAACAAGCTGCCGGAAATGTTCTACAGGGAGTGGAGCTGCTCACTCTTCTGGGCTTTCTTGCTTGTTGCTGAGCTGAGGATGGAGATGTGGCAACAAGTGGAGACACTGCTTTCATTTTGGTTACATGTATTTTTTCTTAAAAAAACAACAACCCACCACTTGCCCTGGCTGGGGTGGCTCCACTGGCATGAGTTGTTTCATGCGTCGAAAGGTTGCTGGTTCCATTCCAAGTCAGGCACATGCCTAGATTTCAGGCTCAATTCCTGGTTGGAATGAGAGCCATTTATTATTATTATTATTATTATTATTATCATTATCATTATTATTATTATTTGGTGTGTATGCGTTCTCTTATGATGCCCGGCATAGTTTCTCACACTTTGGAAATGCTCTGTACAGTTTGCTGAAGGACTAGGTGAGGCGCATGGACTCCTGAGGGATGCAGAAATCACAAGGTGAGCAGTACAAGAGGGAAGTGAAGGTCAAATGCAAGAGAGGAGGGAGAGAAGTAGAGATGACCTGCTTGCCTTTCCCACTCACTGAGAGGATGTGTTAGAGCAGAGCCAGAGGGAATGGAAAGCGCGTGTAGGACAGACTTTGCTGGTTCTTATCTCATCAATAATTCTTTTCCCCCCAACATGAATGGATGAATGGATGGACAGTTCACATCTTTCTACACCCCCCTGCCCTGGGTGCAGGTCTTTCTGAACTGCTACTGAGGTGACTGATTGTAGCTTAGCAGTTGTTTGCCCCTCTTGGAACAAGACTGGCATGTGGGTATTCACCAGAGCACTGGGGATAGTGAGTGAGAGCTCCATTTAAAAATTATTTTCATTGATTTCAGAGAGGAAGGGAGGGGGGATAGAAATATCAATGGTGAGAGGGAATCATTGATCAGTTGCCTCCCCCACACCGCCTACTGGGACCAAATCCAAAACCCAGCATGGGTGCTGATCAGGAATTAAATTGTAATCTCCAGGTTCATAGGTAGACGCTCAAACACTGAGCTGTACTGGTTGGGAGTGAGTTACAGCTCTTAAATGGAAGTTTCTTTGTCCCGACTCACTAGCATCTGGGCAAACACTGCCCCCTGTCTGTGCTTCCTGTTCCCAGAGCTCACAGTCAGGCCTGGCACAGCAAGAACCCAACCCTTGTGTGGTTCCTGAGCCTCTAACTCACATCGTTGCCCTTGATGGCTCTCCAGGCTGTACCGGTAGCAAGAGAGGGTGGGGCATCTCTGAGGGAAAGAGCAGCAAGGTTGTCCACATGTTTTAAATTATTTAGGTGCATAAAATATTCAGATTTGTGAGCACAACAGCAATTCTATTTAAAAACTCCAGACGTGTGATGGATGAACTCAATGTTTCCAAGCAGTTCCCAGCTTCCAGCCCACCCCCCAGGAATAGTCTAAGAGCTACTCAGGCTCATTTGGGTCAACTCCCAACTCTTGGGACCAGCTAAAGAGCAAGTGCCATACAAGGTGGATGATGTTTGGCATATGGTTTCATATAAGCACTTTTTAATGAGAGGTTTTGGGGCATCCCCACCCCACCTCCTCTATTTCCCAGAATACTCAACTTGCAAAACAAACCAGCAAACAACTAATACATTACCTAACATCTTCACTCCAAAAACAATCAGCCAGGCATCATTTTTTCCCTATTTGTGGGTAAATCAAGGCACACAAATGTTGTTCAAAGTCACATCAAGATCTGACTGATTCTACCATATAGCAATTCTTTTCTGACAAGTTTCCAGGACTTTTTGACATAACATCTGGCTGTACTGTCAAAACATAAAATGATTCTTCCTCCTTCATAATGGTAACCGCTGGGGAGGAAGAAGGGGGGAGTGTGTGGGATGGGGTATGTGGGGGGAATTCTGGGAAACTGGAAGGTTCCAGCTCTTTATCTTGGTAGTGGATGCCCAGAGGTGCTCTCTTTGTACTAATCCATCAGGGTGTACCTGTAGGATTTGAGCTTTTCTTGTGTTTATTTTTACTCCAATAAAAGTTTATTTAAAAAAACAAAAAACAAACCCTTCTTCCTAGCAACTAATGGTGGAGGGGGAAGGCTACACTCCTTAGTCAATGTGTTCTAATGAAACAGCAGAAATTCCTTGGGCTCTACTATGATACTTAAAAAAATAAGACAAGTATGTTGAGATCCTGTCCCTTTAAAAATAAGGTTCTGATTCTTTCAAAGCCATGGATTTTGGATTAAAAAGTGTTGCCTAGAGCGGGGCTGCCACTTTCCCCAACACTCACTTCAAGAGGAGACCTACCTTACCGAGGACTGAGTTGTGTAAGGAACTTGAATGAGGGAAGCCAGGGACAAATGAGAACTTAGAAATGAGCTAACAGTTTCAGGCAGCTGTGAGCGAGGTAAGGGCTGGAGGGCAGGTTTCTGGAGTCACCAGGGAGTCTGGTTTGAAAACAACAATTTTTTTCCTGCTGCAGATGATTTCTGTGTCTAATTTTAGCCAGTTGGCAGGAATTGAAGTCTTTTGACCACAACTATAGGACCTGACGGGGCTGGAGCCTGGGTGGGAAGACAAAGCGCCTCCCCAATGGTTACACGGAAGTTCTAATGGATCAGAGGAAGGAGGGGGAGGATGAGAAAGGGACACGGGCGATTTAAATGAATGAACGAAGCTCCTGACAACGTGAGCCTCTGGTGGCGGCCCCTCCCCCAGAGCACACGCATCTCTGGTTTGAGCAGAAAACAGGATGCAACAGAAAACGCTCCCTAGGCTCACAGACAGGGGCGAGTTTCCTTTTAAATCCCCAAGCCAAGTCAGGGGAACAGACAGAACTCCTGGTGAGGGCGCCAGCGTTGGGACGGGGTGGGGCCTGAAGGGGAGTCTTACCTTATGCAGGACATGCTCATAGAAGTCAGGGCCAGCTCCCCCCTGGTAGGAGCCGAGGGTCTGCAGATCCATGTCCGGCTCCGAGTCCGCTGATGCCGCGCTCCCGCGTTCTGCGTCAGAGCTTCGGGAAGCTGGATCCAGACTCCGGGCTCAGCTGGGTGCTGCAGGCTCGGGTCTAAGTCCCCCCGCGGGTCGGGCCGGGCCGCATCTGGGTTCAGCACTGGACAGCTCCCGCGGCAGCCCTGGCGGAGTACCTGGAGCTCAGGTCCACGACCTCAGCGTTTCAGCACCAGGAACAGCGGCACCGCCCTGTGAGCCCTGGACGTTCTGAGACCTGGTCTGCTCTGAGTCCAAGTCTTGTGACTCCAGGATGCGGGGAGGGACGCCAGCTTTCAGTCTAGCCGGTGGCCCGTGTGCATATCTCGTTCAGCTATGGGATCTCCGGAGGCTCAGCGACCCGGCTGCATTCGCAGGGCATTGCGGTTGGTCCGGGAGCTCACGGTTCCTGATTCTTCAGTGAAGCAGCGTCCTCGTCACACCACGCAGCTCTGCCCTCCCCCAGGGTTTGCAGAGGATAAGTCCTGAGACGCTGGCGCCGCTTCTCTGTTCTCCCTGGGCAGTTCCCTCCAGCATCTGTGAGACAAACAGCGGCGTGAAGCCTGAGGCTGATAGATGACGGGCTTTAGGGAGCCCCTGAAGACTCTGAAATGTTTTTGCAAAATTCTCCTTTACTGCATTTTCCTAGGGAGAGGATCCAGACCTTAAATTACACTCTCTAGGATGCACACGACCCCCCAAAAGTTAAGAACAACCAGCTTGGGAAAGGCAGAAAGATGTTGGTTGAGAGCACAGACTCCAGATTCAAACCTTGGCTCCGATATTGTGTAGTTGTGCCAGGTTACTGAGCAAAATGTTTTATACATTATCTCATTAATCTGACCAATAATTCTATGAGATAGTTATTAGTGTGTCCATTTTACAGGAATGGAAAGTGATGCTTCAGGGTGTTTTTTGTTTTTTGTTTTTTTTGTTTTTTGTTTTTTGTTTTAGAGAGAGGAAGGGAGAGGGAGAGAGAGAGTTAGAAATGTCGATGAGAGAGAAACATTGACCAGCTGCCTCTTGCACACCCCCTACTGGGGATGTGCCCGCAACCAATGTACATGCCTTTGACCGGAATTGAACCTGGAACCTTTCAGTCTGCAGGCCGACGCTCTATCCACTGAGCCAAACTGGTCTCAGCTAGATTTCACACTTTTAACCAATACACTATTTTTATTCTGAAAATTTTTAAAAAATATATTTTATTGATTTTACACAGAGAGGAATTGAGAGGGACAGAGAGCCAGAAACATCGATGAGAGAGAAACATCGATGAGCTGCCTCTTGCACACCCCCAACTGGGGATGTGCCCACAACCAAGACACATGCCCTTGACCGGAATTGAACCCGGGACCTTTCAGTCCGCAGGCCGACGCTCTATCCACTGAGCCAAACCGGTCCCGGCTTATTCTGAAATTTTGAGTTGACCCTCATGTGGTAATTAAGTGGCAGTTTCATTTAGGATCCTTAAGGAAGTAATCTATTAATCATATACCAAATGGGAAACAAGGGAACTGCTAGGTTCAATGGATTTAAATAAATTATCCAGAATAAACTCTGAGAATTTGATGCTGCATAAAATTATGAAATGGGGAGGTGAGACAGCTTTTCTTGCACTAAAACCCCAGCAACATCTCTCCTCCAGTGAAGGGCTTGGCACTGCTCCCTGGCCAGGCTCCGGGCTCTTGGCGTGAGTGAGAAGTACACAGGAGGAAAGGAACAGTCTGTACATGCAGCCACCTGTCCCCCTCTACCCACCAGTGAAGTGGTGGTGGAAGCTGGAGCAGCAGTCTTCCACCCAAGATGCAAGCCAGGTGCTGAGGACCACAGAGCTCCAGGCTACAAAGGACCTGAGGACCTCTGGAGCCACCACACCAGCCTTGGACTGCTTACCCTTGGATGTCAGAGCAAAGATACATACATTTATATCGTGCATATAGCATGGTAATATTGGTTTTTAATACAATAGCTGAATGGGTCTTCCAAATAATATAGTTGCTATGTGTATAAAGAGTAAACACTCTACCAGGTGGTCAAAAGAGTAAAAGAGTAGGGAAGGATGGGAGAAAGAGACTTTTCTTAATATGCAAAGCAGATGTGGGGAAAGGGTGAACAGGAAGGGGCAAGATAGGTGCCTAGGGACAGTCACTCTGAGGATCATCTACTACTTTTAGCAAATAC